TTTCATTTTTAGATTATGTTATTAATGAATGTGACTTATTATACTTATGGAAGCTATGTTTTTATTACCTGTACATATCATTAATTTTGGGTGGTGGTACCTAAGGCCGTATAATGTTCCTTACTAGGTAGGTACCTACCACATTTTTTTTTATGAATGGTTATGGAAAGGTGCCTTTGTTGTTTACGCTGGCGGGGCACCAGTGGAGGATGATAGGATAAGCATGAAGTTAGGTCAGTTATCCCATCGAGGCAAATAGGATGGATGGATGGGGATTTTTACGATGGTTTCCAGGGGTACCAAGTGGAGCTCAACCTGACATTGTACATATAACTAGGTACCACATTGTTTTATTGTTGTAGATTAGAAACATCCCTACACTTATTTGTGCCAATCGTAGCACTTTCTACGTTACATCTTCATCAGTCAATACAGATAGACCTAAATGTAATAACAGAATCTATACATATTTATATCATTTTAATTCTCGTATCTACCAGCAGGAGTTCTAAGAAACCTACATATAACTATTATATGTATATGTAAATACATACAAATAAAAGCTGGTTAATATCAAGTTTAAAAATACATAATTATGTATTTGTAAATAATATGTGTAATACGATTAGGTGAGTAGTGAAATAATATACTTATATAAACTATTTAGATATGTATATATAGTGTAAAATAGATAGTCGAGACAATTGGTACAATCGTCGGAGAGCTTAATAATCCTAGTGGTAAACAAAACGGGGGCAGTTTGTTTAAATCCCGGAAGTAGGTATGTCCCAAAGCGGGAAGGGGGCAAGCAGGCTTACAGGCCGAGACGGCAGCGGGTCACTCCGTCACGCGGCGACCTACACAGCCAATGCGCTTGCCATCCATTAGCTCGATTTCGTATTCAAGTTCACTCGCGTTCCATCACCAAAAATATTTTTGTAGTGTGACGCAACCAACAGCGGCTTCGTCCCACTCGAACGCCCCGACGGACTCTCTGTCCGTGCCGCTCTCACGCGACCTTGGCCGCGGTGCGCCACAAGGTTCGGGTCTTCGAACTCCAGCTCGAGCAGCGGGCGGCGGGGTACGAGGCGCATATCCCTCCAATGGCTAGCCGCGCACGTCTGCGCGCGCTCGTGATTGGTTCGTTAAAGGCGCGGCAATGACCTCGGAGACCGGAGTTCGAAGCGCGTCGATCCTCGCTTCGAAGCGCAGACCGTCAGGCTTCGTCCGTCGATAGAGGTGAATTTTGCTTAACGTACTACGCTTCATTGTCGAAGCGATTGTATCGCACAGAGCGCTGATCTTTTTGCAGACTTTCACTCTTAAGGGGAGGCTCGCGCGGCTTCGAGCAGGAGCGCGCGCGGCCCTCACTCAGTTCGTCGATCGAGCTCGAGTGAGACGCACGTAGCACGCGCAGTGACGGAATTACGTGTAGCGACCTTCATCCCTCGCGTCGTACCGGCCGTGCTTTCGGCTCATGCGCTCCTGTCCTATATTCGGTGATCGAGCGTGGACGACGTCTGTGACAGGGAGTCAACAGGCTTGGATGTGGCTTACGTGTCGTTTAGTGTAGTGTGAGAGAGGACAACAGAATAGTTTTAATACATATGACTTTAGTGATGTCTCCGGACAGCAGTTATGGGCGTTACGATGCGCCTGCGCCGGCTGACAACAGAATTATGAGCCCGGTGCACAAGGAACGGGAACCCGAACTGCATATAGGTAGGATAGTTTATAAAATATAAATGGAAATGATACTTTTGTACATCACTTCATTAATTCGAATAAGTTTTAATCAGTTACAGCTGACTATATTGTGTATTATAATTTATAATACCCAGCTACTTACCTTATTTATATATTAAGGAATGTATTGGCCCAATTTCCAAACATAACAAAGTTTGATTTGAAAATAAAAGTAACAAGTTACTTGTAATCTTTTTACATGTAGGTACTTCTCAAAAACGTATACGCTAGGCACCATCCTACGTCTTTATAAAATATAGTCACACATTTGACACCGTGTAGGTACGTTATTTTGAAACATAATATGCCTGATATTATATAAACATTTTCAGTAAGTAGGTCATATGCTAATGTGAGGACTTTTTTTGTGTTAAATCCGTGAAAATAATATCACAAAAACAATCGATAATTAAAAGTATTGAAACATTGAGAGTACAGCACATTAGACAACGATCATTAAATTTGTTATAATTGATTAATAGCATTCTACCCACTCTGCCCTTCAAAATATGAAAGGGTATAACAATTAAATGCAGTTACTACGTTTTGTCAAAACGAATGGTGGAACGAATATTGATGGATTGGTTTTAAAATTTTTGCACGGAAGGGTCCAGCGGAAAACAATTAGAATTTTATTGTGTAACGTTAAAAGTTACTCAGTCGTAATGATATCCACATCTCCCCCTTTGCCGGTTTTTGAATGTCAAATGGGAGTAATGTCACACCGTGACTGTAGGGTACAAATATAGATTGATTTAAATTCCTAATGATCTTATCGTTTATTGATTTATACTTTTATAAAATTTTCTCTTGTGATTTTTTTTCTATTATTAACAAAGTTAACCGTTACACCATTGAATAAGCCCTCGTGGCGTAAACACAGAAGTATTAACAATTAATAATGTTACGCCAGTTGTGATGTAAGGAAAGTAAATATTATTAGTGTATTCGTGTACGCGCTCAGGTTGTCGTAGTGCCAGCTGTTCGCTGTGTTACTTTTACTTTTCTCTCCGTCGCTTTTTTCGCAACGAGCAAACGAGGCAAAGTAGAAACTAATGCTAATGTTTGAAATCTTGCCAAGCATTTGTAAAAATAAATAGGCAGGTATACTGATTGAAATCACTTCTATCAATATCGCTTATACGTATAATTATAAAAAAAAAAATTTTTTTTTTATAATTACGTTGTATCTATTTTATCAATGTCGTGTCATTGATACCTATGTCCATATCCTATGAATATACCAATAATTTAAATTTCAACCATTTTCACTTTCGATAACTGTCAATGTAAAAAACTGTGCAGCTGCCATCTAGATAATTAATATAGAATGCGGCTCATTGATTAAATGTGCTATAAGATAATATATCCCCATATAGACTAACAAATTATTTACAAACAAACATCGCCCTGACACAGTTTCGCTACGTGTAAAGTAGCCCGTCAGTATTTTGCACGCTTGGGCGGAGTTTGCGTTACGTGCTCTAAAGACTTTCTCGCGCGCTTTCCTCGCCTTTTAATTGACGTAACGAACGAATGACTCTCACACACGCCGCCACTCAGAAAAACGCGAGTTGCATCACACGAGGAGAAATGGCTGCACGCTACTGAGTCTATTGCAATTGCACCAGTTACGTCTCGCAGCGCTTTCCCCGAGCTATTGTGATCCCCACTCGAACTGAACACGCACCGATGAAAGTGTTGCTTTAAGATGAGACCAAAATTACACGCCGAGGGCGGCCGCCGCCTCATAAAAAAAGAAAGTAACACTGTTAGAAAGCGACGACGACGTCGAGCGTCGACCCGCGGCGAGTGGTGCACGCCAGAAATAGAAAGTACCTTCCAAAACGCCTGTAGTAGCTGTTCCTTTAAGAAATAAATAAACGGCTGGAAGAGGAAAGTGAGAGTAGTCAATCGGGGGCGTCGCCCGAACCTGTTCCCTGATCGAGAGCGGAGTCTAGCTAACGCCTCTCCATTCCGAGTAATGCAACGGAGCCCCGTCGCATATCTCTAATTCAACTTCAGATGTTATTTTCGCCCCGGGTCTTTGTCTACTGCTGACCTACTAACAAAATTACCTTACCCATTAACTGTTTCGCCCATATTAAGTTGTATACTTTGTCGACATTTTACTAATTCTTTGTTCAATTATCTATTAGATAATGTAAAGTGTTCGATCAATGTCCGCAGACAGTTTAGATCACTGTTTTGCTTAGATTACGTTTCAGTTCAACATTATTATCGTTAACAATATTGTTGTTGTATTATAGAGGTCGTTGACTTCATCTAACATGAATAGAGAGACTTGCCACTTTCTAAAATAACTATTCAGTATCACCTTGACGCACGCAACATGATACTGTTACGTCATTTATTTTATTAATGCAACTGACTTAACTTCCTTTCTTTCTTACTTGATACTAAGGTATTATGTATATTATAATAAATAATCTTTCTAAGGTACATATTTACAACTAAATAAACAAAACAACCACAACAGTTGGTATAATATAGGGATTGTTAGTTTGTTACTGCATAATTTTTATGGTCTGTCACAGATAAAAATACTAATTATTCTCAAATATACAACGGCAATACTGCATGCATGCATGTTATTAGGCAACTGATAGAATACAAGTGCTTCTAAGGTGCGGGAACCAACACTCAAACCATCGAACGATGAGGCAGTGCAGTATTTGAAACCGTTACACAAGGTCGTAATTAAAATATGCAATGAGCATGCAAAATGTTGCCTAGTCAAGAAATGCAATATGCATGCACATTGTGTTTCAGTACTTATGTGATATCTTGACAAAGTTGTGCATATATGAGCGATATAGCATATACTTGACGAGAGTCAGCGCCGCAAGGTCGCCAAATTATCATCGAAATCACGTGCGTCGGCGTGGTAATGTTTGTTATACATAACCATACTAGCCCGGATGTTTAGTAAAACGCAAATCAAACTCGTAATATTTGCAACTCAGCTGACAACATCAGTGTGAATATAGAACAGTACCTGACCCGCTCAACTTCGTATGCGTCACGTTTCTCCTTTTTTATTGTAACATTTTAATTTATATTCCGCTCCTATTGGCAGTAGCGTGATCTTATTAACTTTGCAATCCAACGCTGAAATATTTATTCAATTAGGAACGGTAGTTTTTATGTCTTTATTAGGGTTTTTGTAACATTATTTATTTGTACTAAAGATCTGTCTATAATTATTATTAATGAAACTTTTCTTGTTCCAGAATTTGATGGTACCACGGTGCTGTGTCGTGTGTGTGGTGACAAAGCAAGTGGATTCCATTATGGTGTGCATTCCTGTGAGGGCTGCAAGGTAAATATAAACATTATGTTTGTAAACAATATATTTATAAGCTATGTTATAATGCTCACCAGCACCGTATTAATATTATGCCACCATCACCGCTGTCAGGATGTCAGAAATGATAAACTTTATTTGAATGTGCAATATTTTAAAATAGCAAAACAGGAACCTCACTTGACAAATATCTCATGTCGCACCTTTTCACAAAGGCCAAATTTCGATTGTCAGGTGTGTACAGCACCAGTAGTATCAAGGTCGCTCCATACGGAAGACAATCTCTGTGCACTTTGAAAAGCCCGACCCGTTGACCTTATTTGCTGCGAAATGTAAAATTCAATTGACGTCACGTTATTCGGTGCGTATCTTAAAAATCGCTGCATTAAATCGTGTTATACTGAATAGTAGTGATAACTAGACGGGTACCTGCTAACCTCGACTCACGGGTCTGTCGGTCAGCCCCATGCGCCCCAATTCTATTAAACACATTTTATTTATGTTGTTGATACCTGTTACGGAATGATCTCACGGGAACGAACAGACAAATAACTTTTGAACTCGCTTACCCACCATATAAACGCATACGTGTAGTTACCGAGGCCGTCAAATACATGCTGACATCTCTCTACGTGATAAGTTCCTGTTCCTACTATGAAGGTAATGCAACTACTAAATACTTAATTGAAATACATTATTGTATTACTACTTATAGCATAGTTTCGGCACTTTATAAAGATAACAGGCCGTTTCTCTTTCATGACCGATATGCGGAGTAAGTAATGACCAAAAAGTTAATAATAAATTAAAATTATGTTATCACAATTGACATCTATTTCTAGGACTATAAATATCATAAATAGTTACCGCGAAACTCGTTAGTTTCGGTACGTAAAAGTTGCCTAGCGAAAGCACATTACGTGATCAGTGAACGTTCAAGAGCATTGCAGTTCACAGTAATTACTTCCTCGTCTTTGCTATTCAAACGTGTACAAGTACATAGTTAAATAAATAATTATATTTATTCACCTTCTCTTATTGAATAAATTATATGAGGTCGTCCCTATTTGTACCAGTGTAGGATGTTTCTTATGAATCCAATTAGATTTGTATTATTTGGCAAGACTCGACCTGTCAAAGGTCGTATTCATGAGTGTGAAAGCGACGCGAAGGAGCAAGCAGACAGGAATATAAGTGCAAGTGAAGTGAGTCTATTGTAAACTGGTTTATAAGTTACGAGTTCGGTCTGCAGTCGACATTCGACGGGACAAAGCTTGTCCTTCAGCCACGGACGTCTGGTCTGGTGCATTGTGCAGCTATGAACGGACCGGACGATAATAACATTAACTCGGAGACCATTCTTGACACGAAATTTAAAAAAGATTTTAAGCATAGAGTGTTTTTTTTTTTATAAATAATCTGTAAAACCAGGCAGAACTCTTTATAAAGTACTCCGTTTATTATGACTACGGAAAATGGATCGCTTATATTTGCATTTCAAACTCTCCAGTGTTTTTTTGTTGGTTGGTTGGTTTTTTATTAATTTAATTTAACTGTAAAATCAAATCAAAATAAATTCGATATAAATTAAATAGGATTGTAAAAACATCTGTGATGATGATTGATGTTAATATAAATCGTCAATTAGCCTTTAAATCTCAAAAAAATTTTACCTATAGGTTTTTTGCAATAAATAAATGAACTGATATTATTTGAAATAAGACGAAAATGTCAGCTGTTTTTCGTTGTAATAAATCACAACCCGTGGGTCCATTAATGTAATGAGGTTTCATGTGTAAATGAGAAACTGATAAGTTTAATTAAATCACATTCGTGTACAGAATATATTCATGTTGACATCCTAAAGAGTCACTATGTCGTCGTCACGCGCGCCAGCTAACGATAAAGTTACGAAACATATATGGAAGTTCAGCTATTCTACGCTAGATGGCGCTGTACTAATAACTATATTGCTACAGTGCTGCCACTACGTCAGTGAGTAGAAGAGGAAAGTGTCGAGTTGAATGACGACCTAGTGTGTAAAATCCAATGAGTTACGCGCGTTTGTGTACGCATCGGAGTCAACGAACTCGTAATTGTTACTACTTGATTACAAATTACATAAATGAATAATACTATATATAATTATTTTACTACTTGGTAGTTAAGTTAATATTAACTTAATAGCTGTGCAAGATTTTGAAGTCAGAATTATTTCCATACCTACTTATGAATTTAAAAATTGTTGTTTCGTATTCTTTAAAGATAACATACCTATGTATCTTTTAATTACGTTTATGTATTTACTTGAATAATAATAGTATTACAATACAAGTCTGTTATAATGTAGGTCTTTAAGTAGGTATTTCTAGCTCGGGTTACATTTTTATAATGATACACTTATAATTCTTAATCCTTTGAATTAGCGATGATGTCGCGTAGGCGAATATACAGTTGCCACGACAACACCGGTGATGTGCGCTTTGTTCTTTGTTGGGCGGCTTCTTTCCGCGTGTTGTGGGTCGCTTATTTTTCGGCACTAATCTGCGGTGCAGGGCGCGCGGGCGTCGACCCCGCTGGAAGCGCCGCGCCACGCCGCCCGTCCGTCCGTAAACAACTTTTACGGACAACCAATGTACGCGCTACGTGAACGTAACCCACATTATTTTTGAACTGTCAGCTTAAAAGTTCATTGATCTTTGAGCTGCCATATTTATTGAGAGCATCGCGCGCTTGGGTTTGCATTTATTATTTCCTGTTCACATTATTATGTGTGTTATTTATTTACTAAATCCGAATTCGTTAATTGTAATTGTATTATGTTTGGGTACTCAGCGATATTTAAAGTTTAAATAAATAATAGTATTTAATGCATACCTCAGCCTGACCTCAATTTTTTATGCAATATCACTTAGGTTGTGAAGTTCAATGAACGTACTAAGTCCATTAGGTCTGAATACTAATTTTATTCGCCCACCTACCTCACCTGTGTTCCTAGGACTCAAATTAAAAACCAAGTCTGTCATAACAATGTCCCGTTGCTTTTTCATTGTTTTAATGGCCTCATGTAACCTAATCTATTAAAAATATACAAACGAATCAGGTAGGTAGATACCTTTATAGATTACGTTATTGCTTTTGTACTTTTGCAAACGTGAACGGGAAGTGAATCACGAACGTGAGTCAGCTGGGTGTTATCAAGTAAACATCTGCACCGACAGGCACGTAGGATAAACTGTTATGTATGTTTCATACTTGACTAACCGATATGTGTAATATATTTAAAATATTCATCTTCCGTATTTTCGTGTCCGCAAAATTATAAAACTACTCCATACATTGAAATATTTATAATAAATGCTGCATTTTAATAACAGTGTTTCAACGGGAACAAGACATTAATAAATAATTGACAGACAAAAGGAAATAATAGACAATCACCTTATGCCATTTATTACAACGGCATAAACCCTTGATCAAACAGAAAGCACTTATGTGGAAGTCTTGAATTATCCAGCGATGTCGCGATTATTAAAAAATTCACCATACAAATTATAATTATAAATTGAATAAAGTAGTAGCAATTAACCTTTTTAGTGGTAGAATTAATGAGACAATCTTATATTCATATCATACACTAGCGAATCGCTACAAATTCCCATGGGTGTATTTATCGTAGCAATCTTAATTTTTCTTTTGTATGAAAATACAACACATAGTTCTTTCATATAATGCAGCTTTCTATGTGAAACAGTTTTTTAATTGATTTATATATATTTTATTTTATTCATTAAAGAAAAACAAATCTTTCGTCTTTATATAGGACACAGTATACATTAGCTAATATCCTTATATGAGAGTAGAAATAGAATAGAAAACATCTGTAAAGAATAAACACTTCAATAGACGTGTTTTTGATACGACTCACAAATTCACAATAAGCTATAAAAGATAGCCTATATCGGTGCTCATGGTACAATTTGTCTTCTCCTTAAATTTCATTACGAATTGTTCAATAAACTCAATTTTGGATAATTATAAATTTTAATACGGATGAGTTTAAATGAATTTATTTACCAGATTACGGTTTCTATGAATATAAGAATAGGTACGTTAGTTTAGGAGGTTGATTCCACGGAAACAGAAGCGATGCGTCAGCTTGTTTTGATGGCAGCAGTGTTGCGTAGACGATGGTGTCGTTGCCCGGCCCGCTGCACCGTTACCTGCTGTAGCTGTCAAAGCAAGTTGCGACAGAGGCTTCTCCGTTCGCAACATGGATGATATATGTATACGATTGGTTTTCCCTATTAACTTATGTCTCTGACTGTAACACAATTGTTAATATTTAAATTCATAATAATTATTAATTTTGTTCATGATTATTTTATTTTAAATATATTATCTTATTTTAATATTATAAACGCGAAAGTTTGTGTGTATGAATGGATGTTTGTTACTCTTTCACGCAAAAACTACTCAACGGATTTTGATGAAACTTTACAGTAACATAACTTATACATCAGAATAGCAAATAGGCTATATTTTTTGTTGAAATATAACGCGCGAGAAACCGCGGGTATTGCTAGTAAAATATAATAGCCTAATAGATCTAGATATTAATTTTTAAAATTGGAATTCATGGGATATTTGATAACTTTATGCCTCTCAATACATTTTCTAGGTAGATTTTCCGGGCTTAATTTTGTAGTATCGATGAGTGTTTCTATGTAATAGTTATTAGTAGGTACTTAAATGTACAAACTGTGTCAATATAACGTTAACGATAAAAACGTCAGTCAATCGCTTATCGTTTGGCGACTGAGAAATAGCGCTATGTCGAAAAATGTACATAGATAAATGGATGGCGAGCGCGACCCACATAGCTGTACAACTATAAAGGCACATAGTTTTTATACAATCAATATATTTGTATGTACATAATCCGTTTGTGTATCAGCAAGGTACTAAGGTATCAAGCAAGTGCAGTAACAGGAAACTACTTGTCAAGTCGACAGTCTAAAATTTAGATATAAAGACTTTTTCTCATCTTATAGAAAATATCAGACACTTTAATAGATTCAGATACTGACCTCAACAAAATCATAGTAATGAATTCCTGGTGCATTCGCGTTACGGTAGGCAGGAGCACAATATAAGTATAACAAAATATCCCCTTCCACACACACAAACTCTTACAAGGAAAAGATAAGTTGGAACAAATAGCGGAATACCTATGTACCTACTACCAAAGGCACTCGTAACATGATTCATATTATCAAAATGACCTAAAATGTGAGGTACAACAAACAGCTCTAGCGTTATTCAGTAAGCACCGGATGCAAATAGAATAACATTTTTTAGGACTCAAAACGAAGTCACCGTGTTAATTAGTTAGCGGTCGTTGACATATCGAGGTTATTTAATTCAAATGGACACGCGTTCTGTTCTACGTATAGATAGGTGCCTTCTGTGGTTTTCATTATAATATGACATAATTCTTTATACCTACTTAGGTTAAAGATAACTAAAAGTGACCGATAAAATTTATGAAATTGAAGTAGAACTCGCGTCACATGGATTCCCTGTTATCGCAATTCACAATTGAATTTATAACAATACAAAAACGGTCTTTAAATTTTATAAAACCGTCACCTGTATTTATAATAGGCATTTACATGCGGCCAGCCATGAAATACCATCCTGATCATCTGGATGAATGGCGGTCTTCCACAGTACGGTATTCTAGAAACTTTTTGCCTCGCACAACCACATTGTGGAATCACCTTCCAGCAATGGTATTTCCGAACCGATACGATATTGAAACCTTCAAGAAAAGAGCTTATTCCTTTTTAAAAGGCCGACAACGTACTTGCAATTCCCCTGGTGTTGCGGGTGCTCATCGGCGGCGGTAATCACTTACTTACCATCAGGTGAGCCGCATGCTCGTTTGTCCCCTGTGTTATAAAAAAAAAAGCCAGGCTGTAGAATTATATGAATAGACTCGGGAATAAAATGTGTCCAAATAGATTAAAAGGGAAATAAATAAACAATTACAAGGTACTTTTTAACACACAGAAGCACAGACATTACGTTCAAAAGAAATTAGGAAATATTTTTAAGCATTTTCTATTTTTAAATGGTTACGTCATGACATACGTAACATATACACAGACTTAAAATTTAATATTACAGTTATTACTAATTATCAAATAATTCGCAAACGCTTTATCGAGTAGTAGGTAGTAAATATTCTGAAGCCGTCGCTCGTACTCGAAATATAATTCGAGTGATATTTATCATAGATGAAGTGATGAGGAATAGTGCGGGGGAGACGGGCAGGGAAGTTTTGTTTTCGCGGCAGCGGGTCGACGACCGCGCGGTCGGTCACTGCCCGCACTGCGACCAATTATGGGCCACTCGCACAGCGCACAATGGATCGATGGCAGTGCGAAATTGGGCCACCGACCCGAACGCCTCTCGCACCGCCCGGCCCGGCTCGTGCTCCTCATTTGCCCTCTGCTTTACCGCGCAGCCTCCGTACCGTACTACTATGAATACAAATACGAAGATTCTAGCATCTAGCGAATGCAACGTGATCAATCCTCATTGGGAGTCCCCATTTCAATGTCTAGAATATTCACAATTATTTTTCAAATAAATAACTAGTCAGCTACTTTTGTATTAACACAGTAATATTGTCAAAGATTTTAATTATGATTATAAATTAGTAGAATAGTAAAGGTCTATTAAAACTTATTATGAAATTGAAAAAGCATAATAAAACCGCAAATTTGCAGTTTACGAGTAATAACGAAATATTAAATTGATCTATCAATCTGTGTAAACAATAAAATGTGCTTTGATGTATCTTTGTTGTCTATGTCCAAAATTGCTTATAAATAAGCAATACTTATCAATATATACGACCGGTGTAGAATTTTTAACCAAAATCTACATATGAATTGAATACTTATAGTAGCTATATTGTCGTTATAGTGACCGGCACATTAATTAGATCATTACAGCCCCTAGAGGAGCGCGCGCGCATTGAGGTAGGCCGTGACGCTAGTTTGACGTCATCGGGCGTAAATCTGGTCGACGACCTGCACGGGCTGCGCCCTAGCTCCCGGGTATGGAAGGGTGCGGTGGGGAGGGGCACGTTGGTTGTGCAATCGAACGGTCGACGACCCGGGGTGAACGGCCGCGCGCCGCGACGCCGCGCCGGGATGCGCCCGGCCTATATCCGGCGCACCGGTGCAGCGACGGCAGCGCATTCTAGAGCGACGTGGACCGTTAGGAGCGCGTAGGAGAGGCAGCGGGGGCCGGGGGCACTCTCACTTTCTCGGTTGGGTCGGCGGCCTGAAAGTAGGTCGCGCGGGTAACTGTGCCCCGCGCGGCGCAGCGCCCGCACAGTCCACTGTCAGTCGCCATCGGTGTCGGTGCATTGCGCGATAACCCATTGTAGAGTACAGTCACTGCAGAGTTAGCGAGGCGAGTAGTGGTGTTGTTTGTGGCGAGTGTCTTACATAGTGAATAGTGCGTGCCATGTCGTGCGGCGCGGAGCTGCGCGAACGGCACTCGGTGCTGGTGAGCATGCTGGAGTCTCGCCGGGAGTCCAGTGACTCTGGTTGCTCCAGCGACGAGAGTTCCGACGAGCGAAACTCTAATTGCAACTGTGATTCCCAGGGATTCTTCAGACGCTCCATACAACAGAAGATCCAGTACAGGCCCTGCACGAAAAACCAACAGTGCTCCATCCTTAGAATCAACAGAAATCGGTGTCAATATTGCCGATTGAAAAAATGTATTGCTGTTGGCATGAGCAGAGATGGTGAGTTGACCTACATTTTATTATTTATTTTAGCAAATAATTTACCATTTTATTCTAGTAACAAAATTTGCTTTAGACTTTAGTTATAAGGAAATTTATATCAGAGTCTATCTATTGCAAAAACTAGCAAAAAAATGTGTGCAGAATTAGTAATCATTTCGCATAAATACAATTTTATTCAAAGTTTCCTTGTGAAATCGTTTTCCTTGCAATCAAATAAAAAAAGTATACAAAGGAAGAGTTATTGTAAAACAAGCTATTAAATTTAACAATAATAAATAAATTGGGTAAAAGCATATAAAATTTATGTTATTTTCGATATCAATGAAAAATTCATTGATATCGAAAATAAAAGTAATGTTAGAATCAATTGTTATTTTTTCATATTATGCAGAGATATCATACGTACACAGAAATTAGGTCATATTAATTTGGTACTTGGTTTGGTAAATAATGTTGGCATACAATTTTAATAAAAAGGTTTTTGGGTCAATTGATTATGTATCTAATTATTTGATTGTCTGTTTTCACGACAAAGTCTGATAAAATTACATGCCACTATTGTTTACTAAATATACCAAGTATAGTGTAAATTCGTGAAAATTATGCAACTGTATTTTATACGACGTTAATTAGTTGCACGTCGGGCGGCTACTATTTACGTTGCGTATTGCGTACGTGCACATAGTGTATGTACACAATTAGCATGGGAAGGTCGTTTTTCACGCGCCATCTCGCTACGCCAAGTGGGACGTTACGCGTCTGCTGTTGCGGACAGATCCTATTTCGTGAGCGGGGCGCGGTATCGCAGTGGTCGTGCTGCACGCGGGGCAGGGGACCGGGGGCGGGGGGTGTGAGGTCGGTTATGCAAGCGCGGGTGAGCGCACGCTAAGCGGGTCGACGGCCGCAACACCACCGCTGCCGCTCGGCTCGTTGCGACACTTGCTCGCCGCGCCGCACGCCGTTGCTCGGCCGCGCGCGGTGAAAGCGGAGAAAGGCCCATTTCGTAAGCGTGAGAGTGAAATTTATATTTTCACTTTCGTAATGCAGTTCGTTGCCCTCTTATAGTTTCTCCGAATATGACTTTGTATTTATAAAAGTTCATTTTTATTTTTATAATGACTAGCTGTAAATTATAATGATGGTAGACCAGTCACCAAAATTATGGAGGTATTTTAAAAAAATATTACAATAAACGTAGATCGTTATATGTAAAATATAACTAAATATTTATTCTAAAAAAATCTGTAAAAAATCACGTAACAAAAGTATACAAATAATATTATTCGTATTTTGTATACATATATATATCACGGTAAATATACCTTTTATATTATGTGTACAATTGTAAACAATTCTGCAAAATATATATAAAATTAAATTAAAAATAGCACAAAAATAAAAAAGATAAATAATAATATATAAATATAGGTTTGTTACGATACCGTGTCTCATTAGTTACGCTACTCAATAACAGATGGCGCTATACGGCGATCACAGCGCACTAGCTGAAAATGCGGCTTAGCTTGGAACTATATCGGTTGTCATCACAACATTCATTGTAAACCGTATAATCCCTTATAAATAATAATATTATACAGAATTAACTAGTTTATGCTAATTTATAATAATACATATTAATTAATCATGTATAGTTTCTTTATTGAGTTGGTTTGAAAGAAATACTTTACAAACTAGGTAATTTTATTTATTATTGTGATTGGTTTCATTGTTCTTTTTAATTTCTTAATATGTATAGTATATGTATCAGCAATTCCTAGACTTCAGCCACGATATATATTGTGAATTAGGTATATGTCAGTAAGTACACTGTCAAAATAAAAATATGTTAATTTTAACATAATATTTAATTTATTACGATGTAATGCTAAAGTAAATAATGAGTGAGAGTTGTGTAAAGTTGAATCACTTTCTATTAATTACATAAATAAACCACACCTCATAATAGAGCTTACTCAAATCACCATTTCACTAGTAATTATAAAAGCAAAAAATAACGCAGCTAGGTTGCACATAATCGCTATGGTCGTTTCTTCTTCAGAAATCGCTAATAAGAGATTCGGGAAATCGTTCTCATTTCGCATAATTTCAAATCGTGGAGGTTCAAGTGATAGGTAGTGCGCGTGCTAGAAGTGCGGTGATGGAGGGGTATATTCGCGGGGGCAGAGGCCTGCGCGGAGTTTATTGACGGCACCCCTCCCCGCGCGCCGCGATCCCCCTCCCGCATCAAGTTCAAGGTTGGCTCGGCGCGCGCCGCGGCGCAGTGCGAGGGAGTCCGGCCCGCGCACTGGTCGTCAGCCCTCTTACTATCGCTATGACATTACATCGGTCCGCAGTTCGGCTCGAGAACGCGACGATTGCTAACAGTGACTGCTCCAGTGTACGCCGCTCCTACTACATTGCGGTGCGCTGAGCATATACTCTCATTGGATTACATCTACTTACAATTCGGATTACAGTGTTTGTGTTTAATTAAAATATAAGTAGCTGTGCTATGTGACATTGCATTAGTGATTTAATTAATTAATAAAAAACTTTCCAGTAGTTACCAACTGAAACTTATCTGTGGCCATTGGCTGTGAATTAGTAGTTATTAGTGAAAAACTGTAATGGTGTCCGATATGGGAGAAGATTTACCAATCCTCAAGGGCATCCTCAACGGTGTCGTGAAATATCATAATGCTCGTATGTATTATTTATGGGTTTTTATTCAGTGTTCAAAAATAAAATAAATAACAAAAAGATTTGATTAAATATTTAACTTTCTGTAATTAGAAGTTAGTTATTTATATTAACTATTAAGTTTTTTAAAAACATATTAAAATAAAAATCAATAACTTTAACCGAGAAAAATATACAGGAATAAAATTATTATAATAAAATTGTTATTCACTATATGAACTATGAACTTTATTCGATATCAATTAAACAAACAGGTCTTATTTTATTGCTGGCCAGAGGTTGCTGAGATTAATAATTATTAATTTATCCGCTTCTTTTTTATTTTTGAGCTACTATCCCTGTGTAGTATAGATAGTTAAATACTTTAATACTAGGGTTAATAAATAAATATATTTTTGACAAATTAAAGTAAAACATTAAATATTTCTACATAACAATAACAAAAGTTGAACATTACCCATACATTTAAATGTAACTTTTATGTACCTGTATTAATCAACAAAAAGGTCACGAACAATGAAATCGTGCATCTGCGATACGGCCCACATTGCGCAGCGAAAGTCGGGAGAAATGGCGAGAGGGCGCTCTCCGCTTTCGTTTTCAATAGTAAGCCGCACGCTCAAACACTTTCACCGGCGCTCGCGCACGAACGACGCAAGCGGCGCTGCCGCCCCTGGTTCATACTACCTTTCGGTCCGCGCTGTACTTAGTGCGAGAAAGTCGTAACACTTTTTAGCGTGACCTCGCGTTTCGCGCTTTGTCACTCAAACTAGTTCACTTAACCAAGGCGCATTCTGTAGGCTCTGGAATATGAACATTCACTAAACAAGGGTGGCGGCGAGCCGTGAGACGGGCGATGAACTCTACCCCCTCGTCATCAGCTGCGTGTGCACATGGCTCATTGTGTGCTTACATACATGCACAATTAACGACGCGACAGCTGCAGTGCGCTCCACTCGTATGGTTAGCCCCGACCCCGACCTTGCGCAACATTTCTCTTGTTAGCCACCAGTTTTATAAAAAATACAGGATTTATGCGTATGCGCAGATCTAAGCATGTGTGTAATATTGGTTCTGTTTAATATGTTTCTAAATTGAGTTCTCTATTGTTGCAGCCGTCCGGTTCGGACGCGTGCCAAAGCGCGAGAAAGCGCGAATCCTTGCTGCGATGCAGCAATCGTCGACGACACGCGCCCACGAGCAAGCAGCCGCCGCAGAATTAGATGATGGCCCGCGGTTGCTGACGCGAGTGGTGCGTGCTCATCTCGACACCTGCGAGTTCACGCGTGATCGCGTTGCAGCTATGCGCAAGCGTGCTCGTGATTGTCCCACCTATTCACAACCTACTTTGGTAAGTATATTCAAATTGCGAATTTTACATGTCATTTTGAAGTTTTTATTGTTTATTATTTTCTATCGTTGTTATACACGCTAACCTATGTTTTTGTTTTGTTCTAGGCCTGCCCTCTAAATCCAGCGCCAGAGTTGCAATCTGAAAAAGAATTTTCACAAAGATTTGCGCACGTGATTCGTGGAGTGATAGACTTTGCTGGGCTCATTCCCGGTTTCCAGTTACTCACACAAGATGACAAATTCACGTTGCTGAAGAGCGGTCTTTTTGACGCGTTATTCGTACGTCTAATCTGTATGTTTGATGCTCCACTGAACAGCATAATCTGCTTAAATGGTCAGCTCATGAAACGCGATTCCATACAAAGTGGTGCCAATGCCAGGTTTCTCGTTGATTCTACATTCAAGTTTGCGGAACGTATGAACTCGATGAACCTAACAGATGCCGAAATTGGCCTATTCTGTGCTATCGTACTCATCACGCCAGACCGACCTGGTCTTCGGAATATTGAGCTTGTCGAGAGGATGCACTCACGGCTCAAAGCCTGTCTACAGACTGTCATTTCACAGAATAGATCGGATGGAGCTGGTTTTCTACGAGAATTAATGGATACTCTTCCCGATCTACGTACTCTCAGTACGCTCCATACAGAGAAGTTGGTCGTATTCCGCACAGAACATAAAGAATTATTACGACAACAAATGTGGGTTGAAGATGAGAGTGCATTGTGGGCCGAATCCGGTGCTGATGATTCAGCTCGAAGCCCCATCGGCTCGGTATCTAGCAGCGAATCTAGTGAGACAACAGGCGATTGTGGCACTCCATTATTAGCCGCTACGTTGGCCGGACGACGCCGACTTGATTCTCGAGGCTCTGTAGATGAAGAAGCTTTAGGTGTAGCTCACTTAGCTCATAATGGATTAACAGTTACACCTGTACGTCCCCCACCTCGTTATCGTAAACTAGACTCGCCCACGGATTCTGGTATAGAGTCTGGAAATGAAAAACACGAGAGGATAGTCGGTCCTGAATCTGGTTGTTCCAGCCCACGATCATCCCTCGAAGAACATTCGGAAGACAGGCGACCGATTGCCCCTGCAGACGATATGCCTGTGCTCAAACGCGTTCTTCAAGCTCCGCCGCTGTATGACGCCAGTTCCTTGATGGACGAGGCGTACAAACCGCACAAGAAATTCCGTGCAATGCGACGTGATACGTGGAGTGAAGCCGAAGCACGGCCAGGGCGACCGACGCCGTCACCGCAACCACCTCAACATCCGCATCCAGCTAGCCCTGCGCACCCAGCTCATTCACCGCGCCCACTTCGAGCGCCACTTTCTTCAACGCATTCTGTGCTCGCTAAAAGCCTAATGGAAGGCCCCCGAATGACACCCGAGCAATTGAAGCGAACGGACATCATTCAGCAATATATGCGGCGCGGTGAGACGGGTGCCCCATCGGAAGGCTGCCCACTGAGAGCGGGCGGTCTGCTGACATGCTTCCGCGGCGCATCACCGGCGCCTCAGTCGGTAATAGCACTGCAAGTGGATGTTGCGGAGACGGATGCTCCTCAGCCATTGAACCTCTCAAAGAAGTCACCATCGCCATCGCCACCCCCTCCACCGCCGCGCTCCTACATGCCGCCCATGTTGCCGGCGTGAGGCCGGCCCGCGGAGCCGCACGTCTCCGCCACCCCACCCCGACCTATTTTAAATTAAATAAAAAAATTAGTTAATAATAATCGCTCGGAGATCGTTTTAATATATTATATGTGATAATTCGTTTAGGACGCGTGCGTGTGTGGCCGGCGCCGGTCGAGGAGAGCGCAATAGACTGAAAAATAATTTAAGACTATATAAGTGTAATTTATGCAATGCAGCGCCGGTCGCGGTGTGTTTGTGTGTGTATTGTATGTACGTATGTGAGCGTGCTCAGTCATTTGTTTGTTAATATAATGACAGGTTGTCGAATTAAAATAAAACAAACTTGTAAAATTTATTTCTGCATTTTATTCTAAATCACCCATAGGCTTTTCATAATATTTATGAGACTTACCGTAGGACAAAAGGAATAATCAAATATAACAACTGCAAAATGTACATAAGAACTCATATAGCAATAACCTTTAAAATAAAAAAGCTAGACAAGATATGACACATGATACTAAAGTATATGAATCTTAAGAATTAATTTAAATTAACTAAAATATCATACATTGCTTGTAAAAGGCAAAGGTTAGATAGAATACTCAAAAACTGGAATACTTTTACTTAAATGCATCTGGAAGATTTGACGCTTTCAAATGAGTAACAAAATCAATGACTTAAGGGTGTTTACTTTGTCTATGCTCATGAGTTCATTTCTCCAATGAACTGAAAGCCAGCTCTAAATTACATAGAATTTGTGGTACATATGCAAATAAAACCTGATCTAACTTATTGAAGGAACTAAATTATATAAAAATACATTTAGGGGATGCCAGTAGAGGATTAAATAATGGAAATGAAGTCACGTAACTTTATCTATTATCCAGCGAGCTAAAATTTTAATATCTTAAGTCTCGACACCCATTTCTTAGTGTAGTTAAAAAAAAGATTTAGGAACTTACGTAGCAACAGGAGAAACTGCAGATTTACCATATTATAAATTATAATACAATGGTTATTGTGGATGGATAACAGTCGGAGTCAAAAGTTTGAATGAAGTAGGAATAGCGTATAAAGACAGGTCATTGGTATTTAATTTTAATGGATGATAATAGAATGATGCGCCCGCCTGCACTAACAGCTGGCAGAGCACCAGTGGTTGATGATAAGATATGCATAAGGTCAGATCACTTAGCCCATCCTGGCAAATTCACCAGGGTTCCAGAAGGAATTGCCTGGCACTCTGGTTGAGTACATTTCTAACAATGGGGTTATTAGTCCGCATTACTAACTTTTTACTAAATTCTCTATAACCGGGGCATATGGTAGATACAATATAAAATATTACAAAATTTGAAATATTGTACAGGAAATATTTATTATTAATACTCGGAGCAATGATGTTATAACTAGGGCGTTCGTCACTAATGCGAGAAGGAAATTACATAGTCGATTGTTTTGAACCATACCAAAATTGTTAGATCGCGAAGCAACTTTTCTCGTCGAAGGTAACTGAAGAATGAAAATGATTTTAATAATAGAATGGTGTATTGTCCTGTACCGGAAGTCAACCTGATATAGTATACTTTTTGGAATAGGACCATTGAATCCCACCGCTTAGAATGTTTTCCCTCCACCTATAGTACTTGAGATGAGGCCCACTCTAGGTTAGATTGGTCCTTCTTCAATCTACACTTTCGGGTGAATCAATCAAGACGATATATATCTTATAATAAAGTCCAAAGAAGTGTAAATATAATGTCAACTCATTTCTCACAGTTTCTCATCGACAACGAATTTTTCACTATACCTTGAAATATAATTTATCAGTAAAACAGCTGGTATAAATGATCTTTATTGAGCAGACTCGGATGATATAGAGTTTTCATGCGAGTTTTTCTGAGAGTAGTGCAAAAGGGTCTCAGTAAAGTTATAATTAATAATAATTCCACCAATTGAGAGTCAATCTTTCATCGCCTCTGTTCTTTTTGAAGCCATTTTAGATATAAAATTAATTATAAATAACTTTTCGTTTGTACCAAATCCAAAAATCCAGAACCTTCCATGTTCAAAACAATAATATAATTTTCTAAATAAAATAATTAGTAAAAAGAAAGACTTAAGCTAACTTCCATATAAGCCACAGTTCTCGAGCAAACCGGCTCCCAAGTTTTAGCAGTGTCGAAAAACGAGAAGGGCGTGCGGTCAACGACCTATGGTCGATACGATGGCCGCGCGACGCCGACGGCACCCGTTGTACTTCCGCTCAGCACTGCCGCTTCCAGCTTAGTTGACCCCACGCATTAGTTCCGTGTTTCAATACTACAACCAGTGGCCACTTAACGTTACCTCACCAAGGTTCTTGATAATCGCTCATAATTTTTCAATGCTCATTTCAAGTACGATTTAATAATTAAATAGTTTTTCCTAGTTCTAATAAGTACTGAATAATGTATTTAACAAATTACATATAAAAATACAATTATGTAATGATATTTAGGGAGAAGGTAGGTAGGTGGATTCAGGGAACAGAAAAATATACCTACTTAAAAACCATGTGCGAATATGTATCTAATTTGAGGTAACCGGAACTAGACAATCAGTACAAGGAAGTTTGGTAATGAGGTCTACCTTAAACATTATGAAAACAAGGTCATGAAAGAACAGCCTTTTCTCACGACAGTAATGTTTTATATTATATACATACATAACATATATATTATATGACCTCAAATTGTATAAGTTATGTATCTATACATATTAATTAATAGATATGGTAAGGTCAATTTGAGGTCTAGGTTCCATTGAATCTTCTAGACAATATTGAAAGAAATTGAATATCATAACATTGACTTTTTTATATGCTTTGGAAATTGGACTGTTTATGCTGAAACTACAGACCTATTTAAAAAATATATATTGTATAAGAAATTGACACAAAGAGATCTTACAAATTTTAACACTGCCTACAGGGAATAGTGCCTTACTTCTTAAAAATTGTCGAATAATGTGTAACAAAATACCTCAAACTATCCGAGAAATGTCTTTTGAGATATTTCGAAATAAATTGCTTAACTGGTTAGTCGAAAAATGTTTTTATTCAGTACAATATTTTGACAATATTAATGCCAAAATTTGCATGTCTTCAAACAAGGCGGGATGTTTTGAACTATATGGATCGATCAATCATTGTTCAAACTACATTCTTCGCAAATAAACGTTTTATTTAGAATTTATTGGCGCCATCTATCGCCTACTGGATGCAGAGGAAGCGACGAGCTGAAGAGGGTTGTGTGTGCAGTAGTGTGCATGCGATTGCAACGAACATTACTTGCATAACTGTAAACAGTAATTAAAGATAAAATAAACTACATATTTATACGAAATGGACTTATTCAGTCATAATAAGTAATTTAAAATTGGCAAACCATATACCGAATTAAGTACAATTAGTAAAGATGTAAATAATAAACCCCTTTTGACAGTACAATAAATACTAGACGTATATGTATATTTACTTGCTATCAGTCTGTACCAGTCAGTCAGCATCTCCTGTTCTGTTCGAATAATCGATCCAACGAGATATCCCAAATGTTTCGGGGGACGAAAAGGTTTGTTAATAATGAGATCCTGGAGGCAGTCCTCACTGAAGACCATCGTGTTCATTTACTGGTTAATACAGACTTTCTCTTATGTCTATCATATTGCGCGCCATGGTTTATATAACGTTCAGCAAGCTGATACTCTATTCCATAAACATCAATTTAGTATTTATTATGAGACAAACTTAAATTATTATTTAAAAATACCTACTCAGTAGTAATCCGTTAGATTATTCAAAAACTTTCCTTTTTATTGTTAAGTAGGTAATTATGATGTTTACTAAACAAACACTATTTTTTCGAAGTCAGCTAATATTGCTTTTGTATAATTCAATACCTACAGTGTGTCATATAACAATATGACTCTCACATTGCAATAATAACATTATTTTATTGTTTGTTGTGGTTTTTTAATTTGTTCTAAATATAATAATTTACATATGTATGTAGTTTATAGTCATGTAAATAATCGTGGTTAAATTGAATCCATATTAAGTAATTAATTTGTGCTCGGTTTACGAGATATTTGTAATGTTTGTATGTAATAGTATATATGGAATGGTGCACCCGCATGCGCTAACAGCATCCCGGTAGAAACGTGAACGTACTTACTATCGATTCCCCGTGTGCAAGCTTATCCCCCGTGTGGAAGTTTATATTTCTGTTTATCTAGTTCAGCGACAACAAACTTTGCTTTGGTTGAAAAGTGACATATGGCAGTAAAATTGCAAGGTATGAAGGCATGATGACATCATAGGCCTTTGGAATAGCAGTACCACTGGCGTACACATGGTGTCTATGTCCGTGATGCAGTTTATGTATTTTCTATCAGGTAAACCGTCAGCATATTCACCATTCGTGTTATCCAAAATATTTGTGCCTTTTTTATTATTAACTTGTACCCACCCCGGTTTAGAATTAAAGAGTCTCCAATTTATTTTTTAAATAGTTAAAATATAGCCCATCGTACTTTCTCGATAATAGAACTCTGTATAGTAATTAATTACAATCGATTTAGTCATTTGTCAGATGCGATCTATTTGTGTACTAAATTCCATTCAATCCATACATATGTATTTTTCAACTAATACGTATAAAAAAATTAGTTCGGTTTACGAATATGAATTTTTTTATTTGGTACTAAAATACTAGTTACACGTATTATTTCTCATATTGATAGCATAAAAATAGCTGTGACGGAAGACAAGATTTTATTTTGTTATCCTAAACGGTAATTACAATAATAAGAATGTTTAGATATATTGTATATGTGCGGCGTATAATATTGCTAACTGCGTAGTTTAAAAGACCCGCGTCAAGGGCAAATGTTATTGACCGGTTGTGGGTGCAGTGAGCGCATGTCGCGTGAGATGCAGCGGCGCACTGCGACCGGCCGTGCACTTGACTCGGTGCACCGGCCACCCGGGCCTCGGTGCATCGGCCGCGCGTGTACCGGGCTTACACGAGCCGCTGCCACCCCGTCCTCACCCTCGTCCTCAGCATCCGCACCACCCAACTAGGACTATACGCAAACCTCCTACCCCCCCTGTTACAGTGCAATATTATATAAAAGGAAATAATGCAGTTTATGTACTTCTAGCTGTTACACGTGTGGCGCCGTTTATATGAAATTATTATAAAACCTTTCTTAACAGATTAGGTCACGTAGTAAATCTATGTTAAAAAATTCACCTTTATACTATATTTATATATTATACACTGTATACATATTTATACTTTGTAGTTTTAG